AACTTTTTTTTACAACTTGCTCCCAAAAAGGTAATACTTAGAACTATCTGATCTCGTTTTTTTGCTGTTATAGGCTAAAGTATATGCTCAATAGATAATTTCTAGGATCAAAGATAACAGCACTTAATACAATTTTAGAATGTTACCGCTTTTACTAATTAGCCAAAAGTTCCTAATGATGAACTGACTCCCTGTCCATCCTTGCCTATACAACTCAAACGTTCACATTTTCCTACTTCGATCTTTACTTCTGGAATCACATTATCTTAAACGTGTCTGTATTTAATGGGTTGACACTAAATTGTTTTGGCCATAGGTTTTGATTTTATTAGATGGAGCAATACTCTTCCCTTAAGAATAATAGGACTTTTAGGAAGCGCTGGGGCCTCATATTGAAAGAAGAAGGCGCCTTTAGCATTCTCCTATGTCTAACTTGAGTCTACATGTCTATGTTTGGAGTTAATGATTTGTAAAGGACGCTGAGACATTCATAATGAGACAATTGCTGCCATGGAACAGATGTCAGAAGAGCTGAAAACACTTAAAACAGGATAACTATGAATTTCCTTCTAGCATAAAAAGGGGGAGGAATGTTACACCTACATTCCTGAGCATTATGATATTTTAACCCATCCCAAAATGTTAAAGGGTGCATATACAGCTGAAATGCATACAATATGTGTTAACTGCCTTATTCAGGCACCCTTGCCATTTACTTCTTTCCACTGCAGTCAAAGCAATACAACTTGGTCAGACATATAACTGGATTATGGAGGACATCAGATCACTGATGAGGCCATCTTTGTGCTCTATTCAAAGCACTGTGCAGTGCCATAAAGCATAACTGGCTAACAGTGCTTTATCTTCCTCTCTGAGTCTGAATGTTAATTTACAGGCAATTACAGTGTCATGTTCTGGGAACCGCGGCACTGGGGATCCTGAGCTCCGGAACAGGGAAAAGGCCTATAATGCAGGTCTTGGGGAGTGAAGGGACACTAGTTGTGCCAAACGCAGGGGACCAGGAGCAGAGTGTCTGCACAGCAATCGTGGGTGTGCTGGTGGGCACAGGATCTAAGGACAGCCTGGTCTTCTACAGAGCCTCTGATGATGAGGATGTTGAGCGGGAGGGCAGCTCCCAGGTTTCTGCGCTCCAACACACCGGTGCAGACTTAGCTGACAGAATACATTTGCAGTGGGGCTACCTCTGCAATGCAGGGGTTAAAGCAGAAATCTTGGCAGAATTTTTATCAACCCTTTTTTCGTTTTTGTCTAGTTTAAAAAAAAAGAAAAGTTTTACTCCCCTGATCCTATGAGCCGGCTTGCTCTCAGACAGGTCCATGGAGCCTCTCTCCCCCTCTGCTGCAGTGGTCTAAGATCCCAGAAATCATCATGTTCTATACACAGTGTATAGACGTGAGGATGCTGAGAACATTTCAATGCTGCAGCATAGGAGGAAAGAGGCTTCAGTGACTGGAGAAGCAGGGAGCCGGCTCAGCGGTTCGAACGAGTATAACTTTTTTTTAGCACCTAGACAAAAAATGAGCACTTAACCCTTCCAGCGCATGGGGTAGCCCTACTGCAAGGGTTAAGAACACTTTTCCCTGGAGTTCTTCCTTAAATGCTTATTTTTGTCTAGGGTACCTTTTTTAAAATGCAGTTTTACATACCTAATCCATCTCTCTGTGTCACCAGTCCCCCAAAGCCTCTTCTCTTGCAAGTCCATTGGTGGCACTCTGATGTCATCAGGTTCTATGCAGGACCAGCAGTCCTGCATTACGGGGACACTGAAGGCCCAATCTACATCCCGGGGGGTCGGAGAAAAAAGTAGAATGCCAGTTGCAGCAAAGGCTAGGCTTAAACCTGGCTTTTAGTTGTATTGTAGACAAAAACGAACATCTAACCCTTGCTGGAAGTGGGGAGCTCCAAAATAATTGAAAAAAGGGCACTTTATGGTTTATTCACAGTAAAACGCATCAAAATAGAATTGTCTATAGATGACATAAACACAATATTGCAAATAGAAAGCCTAGTTTGTCTCTCGAAAAGCAATGTATGTATTACTTTGTTAACTTAAGTAAATGACGAAGATATTGTGTAATAAACTGGCAAAAAAATAGCTCTGGTCCATAAGAGGTATATACAGGTACGAAGCGGAAGTGGTAAAATACAACTTCCGGTAAGTACTCTTTAGTGAATACATAACTGGATTACATGGGGTCTTTTATATCTGACTACATGTGTAGCTTCAACCAGTGGAATCTTGCTCCTGAAAGCTGGAAGTGACAGCACTGAAGGCATAGTTGTATTCGATTCTTCTTAACTGCTATATAGTGTGTGCACCATGTGACATAAAGGGGGAATTTACCAAAACTGGGGCAGACAGAATCTGGAGCAACCATGGCAACCAATCATCTTCTCTCCATTTTCGAAACAAACGGAAGAGAGAAGCCGATTGACTGCTATGGGCAACTGCTCCAGTTTTTATAAATCCCCCTCCCCCATGAGTCTCACCACATGTGAGAGTGATGCTCTCTGCAGACAATTAAAATCATTACTTAAAGAATGGTGATGATGTCTCACAAAAGGAAATATATCCTGCTAATCAGTTAACTCAAAAAGATCACTAAGAAAAATCCCAGACAGAACAAAATGGATCCAAATATTGCCCAAATAAAATGATAATTAGAAGCGTAGTTTTATTTTTCTGAATAAGTAATATGTACTTACATTACAGAATATGCGCTGCTCATCATTAAATGACCGATTTCCTTTTACAAAAACTCCAAACCACTGATGACAGGTTTGCAGAAGTAACATTTCAATAAAACTGCAGTTAGATCATGTTGAATGATGTCAATAATCAATGTTTATTGCAGTGAATTATGCCAGCAGTCTATTTTATTGTTTATATCATTATATAAGTGCTATAAATTTGTGTCTACAGGAATGGGCGAGGCTTTCTGCACCTGACACTTTGTCACTCCTGTATGTCAAGCATGAATTTCCAACCTGTAACAATCAACTTCTATTCACCAAGCATGCAATATGATTACTGTTCGACTTTCCTACATTATCCAATTAATTGCATGATCTGACTTTTTTGTTTTTTTGCGCACACACACATTTTACAGAAGTGCTTGAATTGAATGCTGTCAAACATAGAGGTTTAGGCTTTAGGGAGTTTTTTTGGGATGAGAAGTCATTACAGCAAAAGTGACTAGAGATTCTCTAATGCTTTTCCATACTTCCAAGCAAGTTCACATCATCGTTAAACATTTCTGCATTCTTTGGTATGTACATTGACTTCTTAGATTCTTTCCTAGGTCATCATCTTTTGCAGTGCAGCATTTATGAAGACACTATGAACAGAAATAACAAGACAGACTTACGTAGCCACCAGAGAGATAACGATATCTAAAAATGTGATTTTTTTTTTTTTTTTCTCATAAACAATCTAAACATTACTGTATCTTGTACAATCCTATAGTGGGCTGTAAAGTGCAGAATGGGATAACATCCATGCTTACAGTTTAGCACAATGTTCACATACTCTGTCCAACAATAAAACATTTCAGAGATCAATATTTGTCCAGTGATAGATCCTTGTCTATCTACAGTAATAGCGGTCAGGCAAAACCCTGTTGTTTTTTTTAGGTAGCTTAAAAGAGAACTATGGGGTCAGTGTTTTTCCCCCTAGTTCTCTTAAGGGTCACGGGAGGACACAAACTAGCGTCCTCCCGTGACCCAAAGCTCAGTATATCGCGAGCTACAGCTTGCGATATACTGAGACCGCTGCAGCCGGGATGGATCCCGACATTACTGTCGAGATCCACTCAGCCGTGTGAGTGACAGCTGGCTCTGCCTATCTAAAGGCAGAGCCAGCTGTGCCCGCCCCCTCCCCTGTCCGTTCCTCCACTCACCGCTGGAGGGTCGGAGCGGGGAGGTGGGGGATCCCTGTAGGGAGCCGTGACTGTCAATCACCGCTCTCTGCAGGGAGATGATCGAGAAGTGAGCAAGTGACGGTATGTGTAGACAGCAAATTAGAATATACATCATACATTTTATTGATTTTCAATAATATTATCATATTATTTCAGTGTTGCTGCTATCACGCATCTGGCGTGGGGTCTATTTATATTAGAATATAGTGTTTGATTAACCATTAATATCGCACAGTCATTATTGCTTGTATTGCTATTTACTATTTAGTACTTAGTAATATTGTACTTGAAATGAGAGTATTTCCCGGACATCATTCTGGCAAGTTGAATGGGGAAGCACAGTCACAGAGAAATAATTCTGTGTAATAGTAACAGGTCTGTGGTGGGGAAGAGCGTGACACAGTTTTCAGGCAAGGCTTATGGTTCACCAAGGATTTTACTTCCCTATCAACAGCTATAGTTATAAGCTACAGACAATGAAGATGCAGGTGCAAGAAGTGAAAATACGGTTTCTGTATATGAATGATGTACTTAATCCTCATTTTAACATGAGAACAGTTTGGGTTTGTGTTGATGGGCACATGCGGCAATATCAATTTGAGATACTTCTGAGATCAGTAAGAATTAGCAAGTGCATCTGACCTGCAGTTGCCCTCCGTCAAGCTACTTTTGCATTCCTTTGACTTGTATGGGAGAGAAGCAGAACTCACATAAGCAAAAGCACATCCACACAGGCCCTAAAACCACTGTTCCAAAGACGTCTGAGCATGATTTGTGGACACCCCATGGAAGGGTACTTCAGGAAATGGAGCAGACATTTTCAACTGGGAGAAGGCCCTGGAGCTGACCCAGAACACATGACAGGACTACTACTACAGTTGGCTTAGGAATGCCTTGATATATCCAGGGAAGGAATGGAGATCATAGCTAGGCAGGCAGAAGTCTGTTCCAACCCAATTCCCCACAACCATACAAGATTAGGCAGCCTGAACATTAAAGTGAAGAGGCTATTAAAAGAAAAACAAGGGTTCTTACCATGTGTATAGTATGGTGTAGATGTTACTTCTTGCTTGTGCTCTTCCGTGACACGGTCTTTGTGCAATTAGAGTATTTTTGCTTATCCTTCCTAAAAATAATCATAGCAATGCAAACTACATATTAGGCCAAAGTTTAGGTCTGACAATGTAACGTTTGAAGAATGCAAGTCATCTCGTGGCCAAAGTACTGATAGGGTGGTCATAATAATCTGGCCACTCAGTGTATATATATATATATATATATACAGTGGGGCAAAAAAGTATTTAGTCAATATATACATACAGTATAGCTTTATTTTTTTTCCTGCTGTTGCAGCTTATTTTTACCAGATGTGCGCACACAGGCAGGCATGGGAGGATGTACAGGTACATCCTCCTGAAACAATGGGGCAGTGGATTGGCTGTTTATGTACAGTGGCCGGCCTGCAGGAAGTTAACCCCCCCTCCCTTGCCCTACAAAGATTACATTACTGAGTCAAAATGTTGACCGACAAAGCACAGACAGTGTCATTTGAATGTCACCAATGGGTAAAGAGTATAGTGGTTCTCCAAATCCATACCTGGACATCTTCGCCTTGTTTCTGCAACCTCGGCCACCCTCCCAGTGTATGGATTGCATGTTCTTATTCATCATGTTCCCACATGATTTGCAGGCCTTCCCATTAGTATATATCTAAACGGAAAGAACAAATAATCAGTTTCAAAGAAGTGAAACCAAAGAAAATACAAAAAGATACAGCACACACTGATAAAAATGAAGCAGAAAGAGCATTAAGTAGAAAGTAACCTTCTAGCAAGCACACAAATGACTCATTGCCAATCAAACAGTACACCACAATAGGGATCAGCAGTTACCAGCACGCACAGCATGAGTCTGCTATCAATTAGTATAGAGCTATGTGCAGCGTTATGGTGTGGCTGCTCCCACTGCAGAACAGATAATGATAATGAACAAGGGCTTCATTTACCAGCAGATCCAAGTTTAGGGGTCAGGTAAGGGATTAGGGAGTTTAGTTTTTAGACAATAGTGGTTTTGTACATATTTTGTTTCTTTATTATAGTCTGGACTTAAAAATGAAATATTACAAAAAAAAATGTTTTATGTGTTCTTCTATCCAGGCAAGAAATACATTCAGCATATCTGCAATTATGAAAAAGCAAGCCTGCACTGATATACAGAAGATATAGTGATAACTTGTTATAATATTATGGAGGATACCACTGCTGGCCTCTTCTTAAAATGCAAGGTGCCAGGCAGTCCAGCTATTACATTGGCTTCAATACTCTCTAATGCAGGGGCGCCCACTATTTTTCGTCTGGAGATCTACTTTTCAAATGACGAGCTCATTGAGATCTACCAACGAAAAAACACCTGCATTCAGGGGCGGGAGGGGGCGTAGGCTGCGCAGGCAGGCCCCTCGCCCACAGTGCGATCGCCTGCATTAGTGCCTGTGTTCCAGTCCAGTGCGATCCGCATTGAGTCATGAATTCACTCTTTGTAATCTGCATGTGTGTTACAGGTTAGTAACTCAATATAATTTAGCCAGGCAACTGGCAGTTTCAGAAGGAGGTCAACAATGGCAGCACCTACATTTCACTTAGTATGGTTTTCATTGAAGACAAGTTAAAAAGTCAATCAGCACTTCGGCAACCTTGGAGCTGCTTTTTCTCTGCTATAGTGGCTCAGTGTGGTCAAAGCAATGTGATCATGTCTCTCTGTAGTAGACTACAAGTGCTAGGGTTTACACTAATCCTTGTATCAAGCACATTTTTTTTCTTGACCGGAGCAAATGAAGAATTTTCTATTTTTTCCTGTCTTCTGACAAAGTGTCAGGAGAACTATGGTCATTTTTCCCACTGATGACATTACTGGAACAGCGCAGAATAGCTAAAGTAATTATTTTTTTGCTAAAAGAAGACCCCCTTGAAAATATACATTTTTTTTATACTGGCAAACAGCAGTCAATGCAACTTCTGGGCTCCTTTACATTAGCTCCTCTAAACTGTAAATATGCTTGCAATGTGTTTTCATGTAAACACAATAAAATCATATTTCCTCTACCTAAAATAAGAAACAACACAACAGTGTAATCTAAACCAGTGCTTCTAAAATCTCGTACTCAAGCAACCCTTAGGAGGCTAAAGTACATTACCAGAAAACAGTGTTTATACCTTTAACTGTTACTTTAACCAAATCTCTTTGTTGTGTGACAGAAATAACCATCGTTTCTATGTGAAAATTCTTACTGTTTTGGGATCCACGTGGAACTTATACTCCCTCAGATGCAAAAATGGTTCAGTGTCATTTTAGATCCTCCAACTTCTTTGCATGTCAGTGAAGACAGCTAAAGTCAAGACTGCAGAGTACTGACTGTACCTGTAACCTTCTGTAATATTTCCTGCTCCTAAATCAAGCATGTAGAATTACTTTAAAGCCTATTTCCACTTTTGTGGAGGTATTTTAAAGAAACAAGCAACAGCAATTCACCCCCCAGGACAGTGTATTGTGAGCTGGAAAGGCAGAGCTGGTGTGCAGTGATCTTGTTACTATGACTCACAGAGAGGAAGGCAGCTGTTTACAGAATGGTCAAACATTCCCATAGACACATTTCTAAACCTTGTGGACACCTTCCCAGAAGAGTTGAAGCTGTTCTGGCGGCAAAGGGTGCACTAAATCAATATTGAAGCCCACGGACTAAGACTGGGATGCCATTAAAGTTCATGTGCGTGTAATAGCAGGCGTCCCAATACTTTTGGCAATATAGTGTACATCACCACTGCACCTCTACATTACCACAATAAATGCTAATCACTTACCAAGGTGGAAATGGGCTTTAAAAGAGAACTAAAGTCAAACCTTTCTTTTTTGTTTAGTAAATTTGTAAGCGTACTCCTGTGACCCAAAGTCAGCATGTAGCAGAAACATTCTGACAGTGCACAGCTGTAGTCTGAAAGGATCCTGACAATATTGTCAGAATCCACTTGACAGCCTGATTGACAGCTTGCACTGCCTCTCTTGAGCCAGAGCCAGCTGTGCCCACCACTTCCCATCTGTCCCTTCAATGAGCACTGGAGGAACAGAGAGGGGGGAAACCGTGCAGGGAGAAGACCGTGAGCTGTGTAATCAGTTGTCACACGATCGCTCAGCTCTCTATCAGCTGTCACATGCCGGCTCCAGGTATTGGGAAGAATATATTTTACTTTGCCAATACTTCACCTTTAAGGTAAACACTGCCGTATTATTGCAAATATGTAATCACTTAAAATACAATGCACTATACTTTTCCTTCATAATTAAAGTGAGTGAACACGCCATATCCCCTGTGGAAGATGAGGAAATCCGAAAATGTGACTTGTTGAATGTGCTTTTAAAAATAGTTTGGTAAATACACATCCTAACCTAGACCTGAAAAAGCGGAGTATGAAAAAAACAATAGAATTTCATTTAAGTGCCAAACATAAGATTCGGAAATATCTTGGAAATGAGAACAACCTTGAATCCAAAAGCATTGGAGACATAAACCAAGACGTAAAAGCAATTCATCCGCTTATGTGTTTCTAAACTTTAGACGTCAGCTAAGCAGCCGGGCTACAAATGTAGTCAAACTGCACAAGCAGACTGCAAAATAAATAGCTTGGCTGCCATCTGCTGAATGAATCTTGGCTGTGCACTTTGTCAGTAACCATTTATTTGCTGTAAGAATAAGCTTACCTGTTCTTTAGCACAAAAACCACATAACATGCGAGTAGCTAGCTCCATCACATGGTCTTCAGCCTCGTCATGACAGCCATCGCATGGATAGGCTTTCCCACAGCATGGAAACCTGCCATTATAAGTGGAAATTAGAGCGATCAGAACGACTACACATGACAGTCTTGACTTCACTTCAGATACCTAAAGCACTTCTAATGGGGCAGAAAATCAGAGTGGAAATAGGGGACTTTGCCCTTGCTGCTGCTCTGTGAAAACACAATTAAGACTGCACTGGAAGGCTACACTACTACCTTAGGTTAAGTTCTCCCACTGGACTGGAAAACAACACTAGGTTAAAGCAGAGGAAAAGGCAAATAAAAAAAGAACTAAATACCCCCCTCAATCTTTTAGAGATAATGTGTAGTATGAACATATTAGCACATTATAGCAGATTTACCTGCCTAACTAAAACCACAAAGTGTACTGCTCATCGCTGTCATGCATTCTTGTAATCCATGGTGAACGGTTGGCCCTATTCTAGAGTGATAGGCTCAAAATCTGGCACTAGCACACGATGATCTTCCAAAGAAAAACTTTATTCCACATGCATCTATTAAAAAAAAAAAAACAATCACCGACGCCTTTCTGCTTTACTCGGCCTTAGTCATAGCTGGTTGCTAAGGCAGAAACATGTCCGTGGTTGTCTTTTGTATAGATGCATGTGGAATAAAGTTTGATTACCTGACAAACTGATCCCCTCCAGCTCAGCGCTCCTCTCCAGCGCTTCCATCTGCACCTCCGTCTTCTTCCAATTCTTTATTTGTTTGATTGGCTGGGCCCCAATGACATAAATCCTGCACATGTGCATGGCACTTACTCCATCTCGGCATACCGGGTCTGTGCGCTGAGCTGCACATGTTTGGGTCAGCGTACAGAAAAATTGCTGACAACTAGAAAGAAGCTTTTATGGCAGAAGACATTTGCGCAGTCTTTTTTGCCATATAAAGCCTAGAAATTACCTTTTTTTTCCCCCGGAAGCTTTACTTCCGCTTTACAATCACTCACTGCGCTTAGAAAGTTTTTAAAAAGCCACTAGATCATGTGACAGCCCGTGGAATAGCATTTGCACATGAGGTCAACAGTGGCAAGCTACTTGCTTCCTTGGTAAAGGTTTTTTTTAACAGAAACCGATGAGAGAAACGTGGAAAGTGCTACTGTTGACCTCTCTTAAAAATGCTAGTTGCCTGGCTGACATGCTCATCCACCATGCTTTAATACTTTGGAGTCACTGTTCTAGAACAGGTATGCAGAGAAGGATGTCTGACTTTTCATTGACTCAAATTTGTCCCTCCATGGACCAGAGCTCATTGTACCGCATGACAGGATTATTCCGTCACCGTTCATTGACGGAAAGACCGTGACAGAATACTTCTGACACCGGTCGGGAAGGGGTTAAATACATTAAAGCAGGGTCAGCATAACAGCCAAGCAACTTGCATTGTCAGAAGTTCAGCAATGGTAGCCTGTTTTTTTTCTTCTTATGACAGGATGACTTTAGAATATATATTCCACAGGCAACTGTGAAGAAAACATTGTGTTGTCCTTTTTTAATCAATTAGGTATTTGGCTGCACTGAAAGAAGAACAATGTTATAAACCACCTTCGTATCAGCGCAGTTTTGTCATTTTTGCATTTCATTTGGGATTTTTGGATAGAAAATTACTTTAAACCCCAAACAAGTATATATTTTCTGAAAGCAGAGGCCCTGAAGAATAACAAAAATTGTAGCTGCATTTTTTTATGTTGCAAGATATTTGCGCAAATGTTTATTGATTCATATTTTTGGGGGAAAAAACACTCAAATAAATTTTAGCGCAAATTAGCTTTAGTGCAATGGTGAAAAATGATGGTACTCAAAATTGTGCCCGATCCCCTGTGTAAGCGGTATTTGAGCTGGCTTCTGACAGTTGTGACTCAGCAAGCTCTGTGAGCACACCGCTTCCTGTGTCACTGCTCACAAAACATAATTGGGGATCTTTCCCGGTCTGCTCCCGCTCTTCATCCTGACACTAACTGCCATGATCTTGGGTCCCTCCCAGGAACGGGGGACCCCCGAAAACCACAGCAGTGGGGTGTGGGGGGCAGCCTGTACAGCCTCCCAGATCACTTGCAAAAAATGAGAATTGCCTGCTGAGAAAAACAGTACCAAGATCATGGCTGCAGCAGCAGGATGTAAAAAAACATACAGCGGTCCTAAAGTAGTTAAAGTAGAGTATACACGTATATATTTTCTTCATTCAACCTGCAGATAACAGATTCCTCCATTCACACTGAACAGCGTGGATGAACAAATCACCGTAGCTTCTACTTGAATTCTGACATAGGTTGCTGGCCGCTGGCCGAATACCCAAACTGAGCTTGCAACTACAATCTCTGCTCGGCCAAAGATTTTCCTACATGTTCCTTCTTTAACCCCTTCGTGACTGATGACGTACAGTGTACGTCGCCAGCATCGGGGCTGTTTAAAACAATCTAATGATTGACTTCTGCTGAAGGAATAGGGTCACCAACCGAGCGAATTTTCGGCCAATTCCTGCTGAAACGGCTGGAATTAGCTCCCTGTGTATCTAGCTTAAGAGTTTGGGTAGCGAGAGCTCTTCTAGTGTGCCACAGTCAGCATCTAAAGCTGTCTTCTTTATACTTTTATATCTCCCCAGACAACTCTAGTTCTGTAAGCCTCACCTGAGCCATCGGCAGCTCTTCCTATAATGTTTACAGGTTCCGTGATCTGGGAGAGGTTTCCCTGATTGTATTGCAGGATCTCTCACTTTCTTCCTACCAAAGCCATGCTGGTCCTTGTTACCTGTAACAACAGTACAGTTAGTGAAAAATCTCTGCACAAATTACATAACGTTTATGTGCCGATAAAAAAACAAAAATAAAGCCCTTCAAACAAAGACATTTCAATTTGAATGTTAAACATGTAAGCCTATGCAGTAAGTATGCAAATTGCAATAGCTTTATTCAAAGAACAGTAACCTATAGCAACCATTACAAATTGATAAAAGTAAAGTTAAGCTGCTATGGGTTACTAAACTTTTCACTTCTTTACCAGACAGATGCCGGGATTGAACATTTGTGCTCAGTGTACAGTGTAAGGAGTTTGCATGGAGAAAGTTAGGAATGAGTTGTGAGAGGTTCATTTATAAAACTTATGAAACTTCCACTCAGCTATTTGCATGGCCGTAGCACACCTAGTACAGTTGTGCTCATAAGTTTGCATACCCTTGGAGAATTGGTAATATATGTACCATTTTTAAAGAAAACATGCGTGAGCAGGTAAAACACATTTCTTTTGGGATTCATGTCTGTGAAGGTTCTCATTCATCCAGGTCATGGTATATCTGTAAAAAAATAAGTCAAAGCAACTGGACTAGCTGTATTTTCCTTCAAGACGTTTCACTGGTCATCCAACCAGCTTTCTCAATGCAGAATGACTCGTACAAAAATTATCTGGGAATAAATATGGTGAATGTTGCTCCAATCCACATAATCTGTTAGTCACAACCAGGTTTTGATTGCATTTGCATAATTGGAGCCAGGAGGTGTTATTAACCTGCCTGAGAGAGTTGTTAAAACAGCATTGTATGTGGCAGACAATAGATGTCTCGCCCCCCTCACCTCTATTCAAGCTTGGCTTCTCCATTTTTGGAGGTGTGAAAGAGGCCATTTAGGTAAAAATATTAACTGTAGGTCATAACTGTAATGGCACAATCATAACACAAAACATGGCAACAAATAATAAAATTAAATGACCCCTGCTCAAAAGTCTACATACCCTAGTTCTTAATTCTGTGTATTGCCCCTTTAGCATGGCTTAGGGTCATTGTCGTGCTGGAAAGTCCAAGAGCGTCTCATGCACAGCTCTCGTACAGAAGAATGCAAATTGTCTGCCAGTATTTTCTGATAACATGCAGCATTCATCTTGCCATCAATTTTCATAAGATTCCCCGTGCCTATAGAGCTCCTCCCCCTCCCCCCCCCAAAAAAAACATCAGTGAGCCACCACCATGCTTCAATTGGGTGATTTCTGTTATCATTATGATTTAAAAGGGAGCCAAATAACTATGTGATAATAAATGGCTTCATATGATCACTATCCTTAAATAAAAGACATGATCAGTCATATTTTCAATATTAATGCCAAAATGTTACGATTTCTCACAAGGTATGCAAACTTTTGCCCACAACTGTATATAGGAAATTCCTATACTCATCAGAGCCATCTAGAGGTGCTAGTGCTGTGTGAACGGCTTCTAGGCAGAACTTTTATGAATGAACCTCATAGTATCTCTCTTCTGCAAAAAAATTACTTTCTCTTTGCAAATGTTATACTTTTAATTAAAGTTTCAGTGACATAAGAGAATTATGTAGGTTGCCAATGCTGACCTCTCCATGTGAAAATGTTATTTACCTGGCTGTCATTCTGATGCTTCAGCTTTTTTTCATTAATTGGACTACCCCCGCAATGCAAGGGTTAACTGCTTGTTTTTGACTAGGGTCAAGTTATACTCACCCAATCCTCCAAGCCGGTGTCCCTGGTCCCTTTCTCCCCCTCCGCTGCATCGGTCTAAGGTCCCTGATTCATCAAATTCTATACACTGCGTATAGGATATGTGAATGCTGAGAGACATACCATCGCTGCAGTGAAGAAGCAGACAGGTAGGAGGGAGGGCTGTCACAGGTGGCCGACTTGAACGATCAGCTGTAACTGTTCTTTTTTGACCCTAGGCAAAAACGAGCACTTAACTTAGTCTAGGGGTAGCCGCACTGCAAGGGTTAATAACATTTTTACCTGGAGTTGTTTTTTTAATGCTTTTTGAGTCACTGACCTGGAGCATTAAAAGCATGCTTGCACTGAGTCTGTGACTTAAAAAGTATTGAAGCCAGACACAGGCAGGCAATAAGCGTTTTTAGTGGGAAAAAAGCAATGAAAGCTCCCATACTTCTCTCATGACAGGCGTCCCATAAGAGAGGGTAACATACCAATGGCTTTACTTGGGTACCGCTGAACCTTCTGGAATCTGACAGCTTCACTAGAAATGCTGAGTTTGCTGTGGCAGTTCAGACAATTCACGTCTTTAATTAAACCAAAAGAGAGATTCTGTAAAAGAAATGCAGATTGTTGCAGTCTACATAGCAAGGGGATACAACGTCACTAAATGCTTGGGGAGGAAAAAATGCCTACTTCTTGCTAACATCATACATTTCTTATCTCTTCACATATTCTTTTCAGGGCAGTTTTACTGCTCTCTGTATCTAAATAACAAGCAATCAGGACTGTTCCAAGATCTCTAGCACCGGTTCCTGAAACTGTCTAGCGTCTTGGAAAATATTTGATATTTAAGTGGTCAAACACAATGAATCATAGCTAACCACCAACCAATGTGTCCTCATATTAAAAATAAAATTAAGTTTAACCCCTTCGTGACGGGAGACGTACACTGTACGTCCCGCCACAAAGGGACCTAATGACTCATCATGTACACTGTACGTGACGAGTTATTTGCTGCACTAGAAGGCTGGTAACCACTGAGAATCAGCGGTTACCATCCATTAATGAAAGGGTTAACCTTTTTCACACACCCGATACCTTAATATCGGGTGTCTGAGAGTCAAAGCAGAGGGACACACATGCCAGCAAAAGCCAGCATTCTGACAGCTCGTATAGATCGAGAGATATCTCTCTCAAGCTATACTGGCTTTTTTTTTTTCACTTTCACTTTCAGGAATAGATACATAATGTATCTATTCCTGAAAGAAGAATGTTTCAGTTTTCTAATCGTTGGAACGTTCAGAAAACTAGTGACAGCTGAATCCTGAACTGCTGCAGGATCAGTGTCACTAACTTATTATCGGCTGTTCTGAAGTTTGAAGCAGCCTGATAATAACCAAAAATGTATTCATTTATCAAGCAGTAATAGTGAGATTAATTCACAATGACTGCTTGATATAATTAAATAAATAAAATTGTTAAGTTTAAAAAAAATAGTGAAAAGTGTAAAAAAAAAATAAGTGTAAAAAAATAAAAAATAAGGGGCAAATAAATGAATGTATTTTTAGCTGTGCTGGTTTTGTAAAAAAAATACTACAAATCAAAACTGGGGAAAAAGTGTATTTTTTTAAAGTTTTTTCTTCTTTTTTTATATTTTATTTGTCCTAAGTGAGGCGTTAGACACACATATGTGATATAAATATGTAGCCCTATCTGTCCTCTAAAAAACAATATATAATATGTGTGGGTGCACTTTGTAAGAAAGTATATTACTGACGTGGAAGAATCACACAGCAAAAATGTCAAAAGTGTGTCAGTCATTTGCGAACAGAAACTAAAAACTAGCTCAGGTCATGAAGGGGTTAATATAGAAGAAAGAAAAACATCTCTGCAAGTATACAGCTAGTTTAGTCATTAAGTAGTTTTTAAGTAAATATGTTCAAATTTGATAACTGGTTTGTAACATTGTCTTAACGTGAACCTGAACTTTGGCGATATAGGACAAAGCAACAGGTTCACTTACATACTGCCCCTTCAGCTGTTTATACTCATCTTCCTTTCACTCCCCTGCCACTACACTTACCTGTGGGAGGGAGAAGACAGTGCCCTGTGTAAAGTCCCTATCATTCAGGTTAAAGTTTACAATGAGTTATGGAATCTCTCCCTACCCCATTTACAGTGCTAGGTGTCTGAGTGGCATTGTGCTAAGAAGGTGACTGACCCCATACCAAGAAGGACCAAGTATTTCTCTTTGCTGCAAAAGGCCCAGAAAAGCAAATTGAGGGTGTGTTTAGGGCCAATATCCTATCATTTCATTTTAGGGCTCCGAGTTAGGTGGCTAACAATAGTAATGTACTGCCATCTTATTATAGAAATCCTAGATTCTGTGAGGATCAGAGACTTCAAGAGCTGAATATATTTGTGCAGTCTTGGCTTAAAGTGGAACCACTGGCAACAAAAAAAAAACCTATATGATGTAATCTATTCCTAGGAGTGATTGAGCATGAAATCCTACATTCTCCCAAAAATAGAATGTTTTCCTTTGCAGAGATGGTAATCTCTAGGAGTAAAGTAGAAAAAACCTTCACCATATGTCAGAGAAATGCATGGCTTGGCAACATAGTGGCATAGGGGCCATCTAAACTGCTTTACAGCAATGAGGTCCAAACATTTTACCCAACCATTCTGTTTGTATCAGTTTCCTCTGGGTGTTGCATTCCCCTTCCACAGTCCAAAAACAACCAACAACCTAACAGGCTTTTGCATTGACAATATGGCCAGAGACAGCTGTGATGGAAATCTGTTTTTTAAGATATGGCATACTAGGACACTGCTACATAAATACGGTCAATAAATAACAACTGTTTCAGATGTCGCCAAAACAGTAACAACCCCAATATTTACTGTACCTGTATTTGCTCTTCACGAGAACAATTTAAACAGCCGGCCATGAAAGTGCACTCTGGCAAGACAAGATCCTTAGCAGCTGCTCCTTGAATGTCCACATATCCCAGCACAGATGAGTACTGGTGCAGGATGCTTGGATGGAAAGTCCCGGCAATGCGACTGTTACATTTCTCACATTGTGCTGCACATGGCTGCTTTCCAGTCAGTGACAGGTCTGCTGTAACATTACACCTAAACAGTGACAACCAAACTGTAAGTAAAGGCAAGTAACCACACTAGTTGTTTTCAACCTACATTATCTTATGTAGCCCCAAAAGATCATTCTAGGAAAAAAGTGCAAATGTGGATAAAAGTGGCAAAAAAAAAGCCAGCCACTAATCTCTTGTAATGAGATAATACTGTAGCAAGAGCAATACTCACTCCTAAGTTGTAGTCAAACTTCCTTTGCATGGAGGTTCAAACTGACCCCGGATAGAAAGCTGCTCAAGATGACTGCAAACATAGCCCAGAAGGGTGACATATAGTGCTGGTGGCATCTACTGTGTATTATCATTTTATATCTTTCTTTATAGGCTGACCCCTTATTTCTTACCTGCTGCAGACCAGGGACACCACTATGCGATATGCTGTTAAAGTTCCCACTCCTTCTCCTAGTTTCAGCCCTAAGAACTGGATTTCTGTTCCCTTGCTTGGACCGGGGCCTCCTCCTCCTTCCACACTCTTCATACCATCAGCCGTCGTGCCAGCTTCTGGATTATCATCGTCTTCATCATCATCGCAGCTAGTCCAGCTATCAGAGTTGTCATCTTCCAAATCTTCCTTCGGAGTTTCCTCTAGCTTTGTGTCTTGCAAACCACTATCAGTGTTAACTTCCTCACTTGATTTATCAGTGATGGCTGCTTGTAGTTGCTGGTATGGTACAAACTCCAGCCCGGCTCTTTCTACCTCGATGTCTCTTTTTAACTAAAATATAGACAAGTAAAAAAATATTACTATCTCTATTTTAAAAAAAAATCAGTTGATTGATTTAACCTGATCTAAGAAAATGAAAACTTGTATTACCAGCCGAGCTCCTTCCGTAAACAGTCGCTCCAAGTTGCGATCAAGCCAGTGTAGAAAAGGACGGAATAAAAGCTCCACCTTCCCAATCAGCTGGTTGGTTGCATGCTTTCCTTGTAGCCATGCCTTAGATGCTTCACACACATGCCTGTAACATAAAACAATAAAAGATACTGATCAGTTGCTTATAGGTTAGATAAAGATAAAACATCTATTTTTAAAAAATGCCCTATGGTTTGTATTCCGTCTGCTTCAAAAGGCAATTCCTTCAGATAAGCATAAGTTATGGGTGTGTTATGTTTTTTCCTCTCTGATGGACAGCCAAGGGCATCCTTTTATTGAAGCAGCCTGTTGCCTCAGACGGCATCTCTTTGGGTCACGTAAGATAAAGGGAGGGCAGAAAGGCAGAGCGGCATGGACGCTCCGCTGCACAATGTTTGCAGAGTGCATGCCGCCCCCTTTCCAGCCAGAGCGTCCCGGGTTGCTAACAGCCAGGCAGGGAGATTTGTAAGGGCCATACACATCTCTCTGCCCAGCTTTAAGCAACCTGGGACACTGTGGCTGCCCCCTTTCCGGCCAGAGCATCCCAGGATGCAAAGAGCTAGGGGAGATGCAGAGCCTGCAGAGGGGGGCTTCACCCACCTCCAGCTGCTCACCACCCCCAAACAACCACAGGTGGCAAAAAGGCTAGGGACAACACTGTGTGCAGCTGGTTGGGCAAGTACTTTCTTGTTGAAATTATGCCATGCACTTAATTCGGTATAATATAAAGTTAAAGGAAAAATGCTGTCCTTGTTGCCTACATAAGCCAATCCGATGCCAGTATTGTAAAATAAGAATTGAGATCTGACGGGTTGCTACTAGAAGAACATATAGACACACCTTGCATTGCATTTTTCATGGCTGATGCGGTGATAACATTTGGCTTTGTGCTTTCTTGGTATACAGGCATTCAGAGCATGGATCAGCTGGTTTAGGTGCTGACACATTGGTGCAGGTTTTTTTGGGTCGAAAATTGAATACATTAGGGGGCATTTATCAAAACTGGAGCAGACAGAATCTGGAGCAGTTGCCCATAGTAACCAATCAGCGTCTCTTTTAGTTTGTTTAGTTAAGCTTTGAAAATGAAAAGCTGATTGGTTACTATGCGCAGCTGCTCCAGATTTTATAAAGTCCCCTCATTGTATGCTGGTGCCAATCTGTTCACAAGACATGGTATAGCACAGATTTGCTCTGCAGCATTACATTTCCAGTTTAGTTGCACATTTATTACTGCGACGGTATATATTCACCTGAACCTTAGCACTAAAGTTATTTTCTAGTTTTAAGGAGGTGGGTGGGGGGTTAAGTTTAAAATGTGCACTGAAATAACAGATGGGGAAAAACACTGATTGCAAATACATAATGATGAGGAAAATTAAGTCATGTTAAAGCTATGTGTTACAAAAGCACGTGTATTAAAATCAATCCTGCCAGCTATAATAAGACAAAACCTAATGTCCCATCACGCAGACAGGTACTGAACACCGGCTGACAGGCTGCTGCAAGAAATATCGCACTGGGGACCAGACAGTTGCTGGAAAACTAATACCATGTGTAACAGCCAAAAAGCTCTTTTTGTGACCATAATCCTCAGGACTGCTGACCTCTTTCTAAAAAAGGAAGTAGCTTGCTTGCTTGGTGCAGTTTCTGGCATACTTTCAGAACAAGCAAGGCAGTAAAGTGAGAGGAAAGGCAGGGTGTCTGCTCTGCATATGCGTTTCAGATCAGTAATTCAAAATATTCAAGCTTTTGCTTCAACATAGCAGCCAGGCAACTAGCATTAGAAATGGAAGCCTCCATATTCAGCACAGATACTACGATACCCCACTGAACAGTTACATAAATGGAGCTCACGGCATGTAGTGTTTTGGGGAAAAAAGTAAATTTAAAGTGACGATAAACAAACAGAAGTTAAATCTTCAAAATGCATTCAAGTACCTTAACTACTAACAATAAATGTCTCTTGTTTGTGTATCACTCAGCTGTAGATCCTCCAATCATCTCTGAATTGGTGCTGACACTGTCCTTCCTTCTGGAGGTTGGCTACTTTTGTTCCCCATGGTCCGTGTGTGTGTTGTAGTCACCACTCCTAGCTGACTCTCGTGATGAACTATAATCTCCCATTTAGTTTAATGATTGTATTGAGATTGTAGTCCATCACAGGAGTGGGCTTGGAGCAGTGGCTATTTTACAACACACAGGGACCATGGGGAACAAAAGTAGCCGCCCTCCAGAAGGAAGGACAGTGTCAGCACCAACTCAGAGATGATTTGAGGATCTACAGCTGAGTGATACACAAATAAAATACATTTTTGCTAATAGTTCGGGTACTTGAATGCATTTTTTAAGATTTAACCCCTTAGTGTCACTTTAAAGCAAACTTGTAAGACACTTTCAGCATTTCAAATAAAAATGCCTGTAAACCTAAAAATTTTAATTCCAGGAAATAGCTCGGTGACATCTACAAGTTAGTTTGCCATGTGATTTTCAAGTACTACTAGTAATGTAGTAAATACCTTGGAATTCTGCCAGTTTCAGCTGTCTCACTGTGCTTGCTATAAAAGGGTGACAACGCTAACAACAGCCTTCTAAGGCTGGGGTACCATTGCCAGCCCGCTTTGGACGTTCCTGTATTAAGACTATAAGGTGTTGTGTCAAAAAAAGGTTCCTATGGCAGCCCATTACATCACTGTTATGCCTGCTCCAAGTATCAGCAAGGGAGCCAGGAAGCTAAAAGTGGCATCAAAACCACTCATGATCTGCTGTGGCTTTGTCTTGCCCACATCCCTGACCTGCAGACCAGAACATAAAAGCACAGTGTCTAGCTAAACAATAAAGCCGGGTACTTATTAGGCTTTTTACTTTGGGAAAATGACAATTTACAACTTGATAGATTCTTGCACTACAGGATGAGCTGTATAAAAGGACAAACAAACTTCAATGTGCTTCTGTAACCAGGGTAGTTTAATTGGAGAAGGGGTTAGCGGCTTGTGGAGCTTAGCCTTAAAGTCGGGAAGGGCAGTGTACTAGGAACAAAGATAAAATAAATCAGAGAGGCACACAGGAGAATTTTCTATTAAAGTGATATTACAGTCAAAAGGTGTTTAAACTATTTCAAATGCTGATTAAATCACTTACAATGGATGCTACTTCTCGATTTTTAAAAGTTTTAGTTTGCAGCAGATCCAGCTGGTGCCCTGAGAACTGGCCGCGATATCCTGTTTTAGGGGGGCTCCTTTCCCATGCAGAGTCCTATGGAGCCACCCTTGTTTGTGCTAGTAAGCCACGTGTGTCTCCACACACAGACACAGCAAGGCAGGCCACTTCCCTCTTCCCTGCTTCTCCTATATTCAAGCTTATAGATGGACATCTGCTGGAGACTAATCTGTCCCTTGTGATTTTGTACTGAGCAGGAAGTTCAGAGAAGCTGAACTGAGAGATTTGGAGCCAGCTGTTCGGAAACATAATGACTGTAAGTGCTTGGGCAAAAACTTGCTGGGAAATGTATATTTGTTTGATCTGGGCTCATTATTGAAAAAAGTTTGTAAGTTTAACACTACTTTAAATGTAGTCGTTGATATCTGTGGACTTTTACTTTTAAAAGCTTAAAGGAGAACTATGAGGTGAGTGAAAATCACTCATCCTCATAGTTCGAGCCGACATGTAACAATGAAACTTGTCACACGTCGGCTCACTAGATCGGGAAGTGAGCGAACACATATCGCCGCTCGCTCACTTCTCGATCATCTCCCTGCAGAGAGCAGTGACTGTCAATCACAGCTCCCTGCAGGGATTCCCCCCTCCCCTCCTCCAGCGCTGATTGGAGGAACAGACAGGGGAGGGGGCGGGCACAGCTGGCTCTGCCTCTAGATAGGCAGAGCCCGCTGTCACTCACGCAGCTGGGTGGATCTCAACAGTAATGTCGGGATCCGTCCCAGCTGCGGCGGTCTCAGTATACCGTGAGCTGTAGCTCGCAATATACTGAGCTTTGGGTCACGGGAGGACGCTAGTATATGTCCTTCTGTGACCCTAAAGAGAACTATGGGGAAAAACACTTATCCCATAGTCCTCTTTTAAAGCTGCTGACAAGGTCACCTAATTGGAAAATCCACCGGCGACAGCATGCGCAGTCCGTTCAGTTAAAGGATTTGCATGGGGCAGCAAGCGAATAATGGATTTGTGTTATGATCAATGTTTCGTGATGACCCTATAAAGCTGCAGCACTCATATTTAAAATGATATTTTAGGTATTTGGGAATCATCTTTATTCACATATTCCTAGATCATTCATAACAGTGATTTTATATTATTTACTGATGAATTGTTGCCTTACCTGCCCATAACAGAGGGTAAAACTTGATCCTCTGGGATTTGTATTGTAAAAACCTGAAATTCAAATAAATATGCGTGTGCTTTCTTATATTATTGAATTCTTAGAAAGAATATGTTTACAGAAAAGATACAAACTTCTAAATGGAATAACCAGCTACATTTTCTGCATGTGACTTATGTATCAAAGCTTGTATTTTATGAAGTTTTGGTGCTGAAGCAGAAAGCTGAACGCAGCCTGAGAAGTGATTACCGGCAGAGTCATGAACTGCTGCAAAAATACTTTCTGGTCCATTGAAAATGTTTCATGAAGAAACCATACACACTGTATTTAATATGTAAAAGGAAATGCAGCCCTATTGACTCAAGATCACTAACGCTCTTGAAAATTATTGCTTCATTAGGCATTACCATTCAACTGCCTTGTCCTATGTACATAGGTCCTGTAATCCTCCTGCTGCCTTTGCCTAGCCTGAAGATTCAACCCACAGCTATCATGGTGATATCACCAACATTCCAGCAGAGGGAGCTGTCCTCCACTCACTGATCTCATTTCTGCTTTAAAGGCCACCTTACATTGTGTCTTTTGCGGCAAAATGAACTTCAGTTAAAAAATATTCTGATATAGTATTAAAATATTCACCAATAAGGGCAGTTTTCATACTCCAACCTGAACTAGAAAAAATGATAGCTGAAACATGTAAAGGTTTTCATAGGCAATGCTTCTACTTTCCATGGCACAAGAGTTCATAAATGAGGCACCAATTACTGCCTATCAATATCTTACAAAAACATAACATTTAAACCCATTAAGTTACCGCTGTTAGGAAAGAAATCGAGGTTGATAATTGGGAATCTTAAGTAAGAAGGGCAGTAAGAAGGCGACGATACCAAACAAAGCAATCGGCTGTCAATCTTTACGTTTTGATAATTCAACAAAGAGTGCTGGTAAGACGCACAAAATGATGAAAATACATCAAACGTCATCTCAAAGCCAACAAAGATCTTATTAAATCCTCTTTGGGAGACAGTGTGGGGACAGCTTTAATCTCCTGAACGTAATCTTGTAAAAAAAAAAAAAAGAAAGCAGGGAGGGAAGGGAGGTGGAATTAATTGCACTGAATGAAGTTGTTAGAATGATCCCAGCTCTCTGCGTGCGGAGATGAAAGGGGGACATAGATGAGAATGACTGGTTTCCAAGACAGGAGAAATCAGAACCATACATTTTATTCTGTAGATACTTTAACCCCTTACAATGAATAATAAGTAGAAGACTTGGTGTGGATGTAACTGTTACAGCAAAGTAGATTAAAAAACTCTGAGAACTAAATTTACCCCAAATCACAATTCGGTTACCCTTTTAAAAGCGACACGTTGATCAGGTTACAGGGTTAGCAGCTTGTAATTAGGAGCATAAATAATGGAATCTGTAGGACAAATACCTCCAAGGGATAATCCTCTGGAAACTCCAGCAAGAGCTCCATCTCTTTCAGGTCAAAAGGCTAAAGGGAAGATAAATAAACAGATTAGTTTATGATCCTTATGAATACTGATGGGATGGAGTACAGGCGGCACATGAACTCTGAAAGCCTTTGCACATAGATGGACCATTAAGAAAGATCTTTCCACAGCAGTTAATGGTATTTTGCAATGATGCTGTTAGAGCGGTGGTACGCAGAGACAATAATATCTTATCATAACTTTTCCTTTGTATCCTAACACTAAGGGCCCTTCATACCATATGAGTTGGAACAGTGCTGGTCGTTGTTTTCAGCGCAGCACCAACACAATACAAGGTAATCTGCCTTGTCATGGATGGTAACCATTCACACCACTGCGTAGCAGTAGGACCGCAGTGGTGCACACTGAAAAAAAGTAAGCCATGCCCTACTTTTTTGCAAAGCAGCGGGATGCGACACGGTACAACTGCTTCTCACCCACTGTGCCCGTAGAACTGAATGAAATGTTACTTGTGACATTTCAACAAAGTTCTAACAACAACAACAAAAAAAGTACACAGTGCAATGCGCTGGGATCAGCCCTTCAGCACTGTGACAGGCACTGCACACCAGACACTGTGCGATTATCGCAGCTTCTGGTGTGAAGTGGCCCTTAAAGTAGGGTTAGAATGAACCCTAAAATAATCCCCCTCCCTGGCGCAGGCTCATACTTAGTTCAACCAGCTGCCTCTTCTCTGGCATTTCTGCTACTCTGCCATGGCCAAGGAAAGGTTTTGCATGAGGCAGTGGCACAGGCACTGAAGCCTCTTCCTGATTAGCCAATCCGTGTTTCTGACTCACATAGAACCTCAGCAAAAAGCAGAAGTGCTAGAGAACCAAAAGCCTTTCAGGGTTGTCAGTTATTTTTTTTTAAGGATGGCAGCGAGGGGGAAGCAAGGTCAATTTTTGCCTTAGATCCACTTTAAAGTAATAACACTCAACAGTAAACAGATCATTTAAAGAACTCTGGTTAAAAATGGTATTAACCCTTGCAGCGGGGCTACCCATGCACTGCAAGGGTTAAGTGCTATAAAAAAAGTTATACTCACCAGAACATCGGAGCTGGCACCTTGCTTATATACCAGGATCCTTAAACCACTGCGGGGGGGGGGACATTCTAGACAGCGGTTTAAGAAAAAGCTGGCCGCCCCCTAGCAGGCACGCACGGGCAGAAAAGACCCGACCATTAAACACACCCGTTACAGGGTGTAGAAATGATGCGTCTTGATTAGATCATCTTCTTTCCAGTGGTTTCAGGAGTCCCTCCAGTGCTTGTGCCGCTCTCTGATCCAGTGCTGACTGCTGTGTGTTCTGCGTCCCACGGTGTCTTTCCGTCATGTGCCGACTGCCTGCATTGACTTACACTGTGTCTCTACTCTTGTCCCGGCCGAGGATCTCTACTGTGCATGCGTCCGCCCCATCATCCTTCACGGCCCCTCGAGAATCTTCAGATCTTCAGACAGGACAAGCAGCGGAGACACAGGTACGGAATTACCTATTTGGTAACTTTTTTTTTTTTTAATGTTTTTGCATATATATACTGCTTGCTAGCAGTAGATATATGTAAAACGAAAGTGACTTTAATTCTACTTTAACCCTTGCATTACAGGGGTAGCTCCACTGCAAGGGTTAACACTTTTTTTCCTGGAGTTCTTTTTTATTATAACCCACAAGGATGAGTAAACAAACCTGAAGAAAAAGTATGCAACGGATCAAGCCACTTCCTTGAGATGAATACCCGTAATACGATTTTCTTGCAACACTGAAAAAGCATGCCACCTTTTGCTTGTTATACACAAACATAGGGGAAAAAATAAAGTGTTGTGTTCTGGACTTGCTACGCTTTTTAGCCTGTTACCCACTGTTGTGCGTTTACATGTGGTGGTTTTAGAGGTTTTAGCAAATTTCTCCAAGACCTCCTGCTCTATTATGCTTTGATTTGTTTTTTGAGCACATGTTAAAAATGTTCTATTAGTCTTAGGGAATGTAACTCTCTTAAATACAACATGGTGTGGTTTTCAGTTTTACAGAAAAAAGATGTATTATCAAGCTGCAACTACATTAAAAAGGCTGGATATCTTACCCAATCTGGATCTGTAGGCTGAACTGTTATTCTGTAATATGTAACTTTTCCATCTTCTCTTTCTTGAATGATCACTTTATCTTTAGGAAATCTCTTTAATAGCTGGGAAACTTCTGTCTTTCTAAGCTGAGCAGCTACTTCGGGAGTTACATTTGAGGCTCGGATGACCTCTGGAATTACTGATGGCCGCTCCACCTTCTCTCTTGGAACTGGTTTCTTGCTTACAGAGTGGTCATGTACTGGTGGAATGTTTTCTGGATGCCAGAACCTGCAGTGTGTCTCCATAGAGCAGTAACCAGAGGCAAAATACCGGCACAGTTTTCTATTTCGGTAAACCTTGTTTCCAGAATCAGTATAATTTTTAGGGGGGGCAGACTGCACCTCATACTTGCTATGTGGCACCGACATTTCTGTTACCCCACTTGCGTCTGCAGTTTCAGACCTTTCTCCTGGATTAACATTTTTTCCAGAAGGTTTAGCCTCTGGACGTTGATGTAAAAAACGACATCTTCGCCCAAAGTGGCAGTAACGACCCTGGGAAAAAAATCTACACAAGGGAGGTAGCTGCTTTTGTTGTACTGCATGCTGACTCTGTACACTGCCCTCTGGGATGATGGAAGGGAGCTCTGCAGTTTGTACTTCAATCTCTGCCATTGCCCTAGAAGCCAAAATAATTCAGGTCAGCTACGATGACTTGATGATAAAAAGTAGTACAGATGTTTCAAATTCCTATTTATAATATTATTTGCAATATAAACATAAATATTGGCACATGATGTATTGTCTTTAACATGCAAGCAATACTAAAAGACCCTAGAAACCTTCACAATATACAGATAGAAATATTAGTTCCATAGAACAGTGCAGAATAGATTGGCATATTGTAGACTCTGGAAAAATAAGAACATCATTAAACATCAAAGAAGGCCAGGGATTCATAGTTCATCTCATCGATAAAGAGATGCAGAAAGAATGACTAATTATTTTAGCAGTATTATAGGGTACCTACAGTCTTTGCATTATGTTGCAGATACATATTAAAACATAAGCATAATGTAAATCATCTTGAAGTATATGCAAAGCCAACACAATGAGTTAGTTTCAAAAAGAGTGGTAAGCAATTAGAACCCCTGCCGGATGTTTATAGCAGTCTGTGGCCCACATGAGACATACCCACTCTATTTGACCCAGTGACCACTGCCTGGTACAGAAACTGATAGGAAATCCATCATTTGGAATTGTCATGAGAAAAGGGGAAACCTGTTCTGACAACTGGAGCTTTAGAGACATCTCCTCTCACTTCTTGCTGTGTCTCTGGACATCAATTAATTAGCTCACGTGGTCCGGCAATTAGCTCCTGGCTCTCAGTGGAAGGTGCACGTCAGCACTCCCTCCAAGCACGATAAAATGAAAGAAGATTAGTATCTCTGCTAACACATACTAGCCTATAGCAAAGAACGCATAGGAAAGTCCTATGCCCCTTGGCTCCATCTAGTGGCGGAAATGCTGTACAAATGGCATTTGCCTAGCGTATGGCTGGGTGGACAATTTATAAATCGGCCCAATAGTGTTAAATGTCAAGTTTTCTTTCCACAGCTAAAATAATCCGTGTTGCCCTGTAACAACCATTTTGCGTCCAGCAGCCTTTAGGGCAAGTTTAAACCAGAACTGCATGCATCTGCAATGTGATGCGCTTTGCTGCAATTGATGCTTTTTTGTGCTTAAAATGAGATTTCAGGTGCGTTCCAGAGCGTTTGCATGCATTTTGATGCATTCCGGTGCGATCTGATGTAGGTAAATAGGGCATGCAATATTTTTTTACTGCATCGGAACGGACTGCACTGGTGTGAACAGAGCACCAGAAGTCCCATGAAAGCACTGTGATGTATTTTGGCTGCAGACGCCAAACTGAACGGACTGCATCACAATTGCATCTGGTGTAAACTAACCCTAACTGTGCATAAAATGAAAAGAAGCAAAGAACTGTTTGTTTAGACATCTTGTTTATTTTACTGTCCCAATAATATATGAAACTGAATGATATTTAATTAGATTTCAATGATAAATCCCCTGCATATAGTAATTTCTTGAATATACCGTATTTTGCGCTCCATAAGGCGTACCGGACCATAGGACGCAGGCAGGTTCTGTGACAGAAGCTGCAGTTAGTGACCGCTGAGACAGACAGCACCACGGTCTCAGTGTTCACACAGAGCAGACGAAGAACTGACGTTCTTCGTCTGCTCTAAGGGCTCTATGGTGAGCTCCTATCCCGGCGGGGGGCGGACTCGATCGCCGCCGCCATCGCCGGTTTTAATACAAGTGATCTGTATAGATCACTTGTATTAAACCAGCAGCGGCTCCCACTGTACATTTAGCTCTGCTTTAGCAGAATGTACATCAAAATAGTGCTTGCAGCGTTTTGATTGCACCGGACCGGACCACAGGCACAATATGCCTTGCGATCCCGTGGCGGGCGATCGCATTGCGGCCAGAGGGTTTGGCTACGGTGCCATTCACTTCAATGGCCCGACACGTCCCCTCCTGCCCCACTAAAAAGTGAGCCGGCAGCAATGCGATGCAGTGCGTTCTGGCCAGAATCGGGCCAGAGTGCACTGCAACTGGTTTGAACGGGCCCTTAAAGTAAAACTGATGCCAAAACTTTTGGTTTAGTTTTGGGCAGAGTAAGGGAGGATTATAACCCGTCAGATTTTTTCTGTCATCCGCCGACAGCAGTGAAAATCTGACAGGTGTTCTAATTCCTCTCCACTCTATGCAAAATTTAAAAAAAAAAAAAAAAAAAGTTTAAAGCTTTAGCTTAAGTTGCACTTTAAAATGGAGCTAAACTTTGTGAAAACATTTTAACTTTCTAAAAAACTGTGAAGAGGCAGGCACTTTATTGCAGACATGTAATGTCTCTTCTGCTGCACTAAAACAAACTTACCTGCCTGTTCCCAAAGCTCAGTGAACATTCTCTGCACAGGAGTTCATCCTCTTCTGCCACCCAATCAAAATGGCCGAAGATCTGGTGCCCAGAAGATGCTGGGGAGAAGATGTGAGCGCTGGCGAGGGAGCTAGATTCTGCTTTCACTTACTGTCTTAAAGGCACAACAGGAAGTGAGAGAAAATCTTCAATGTAAGGGTATATACTCTCAGACAGCTGGTCATTAATACTGGTGTCTCCATTGGCAGATTTTCCCCAATTCCTGCTCCAGTCATAATTGTTTGGATTTGCCCTCATTTCCTATTCCAGTGACAGAGAAGGTGAATATCCATAACAGGAAGACAATACTTACAACCCTTCCCGGTTCTATTCTATACTGGATATTGATCTCCTTTAAAGTATTTGTGGGCACACAATTTAAAAACAGGAAGACAGCAAGAAGTATTAGGTAACTAGAATCACATTCACAGATAACAATCGTTAGACACCTTTATTTTAGGATCTATTTTGCGATCATGTAAGTGCACAGCATCCTTTTGGGGTTCTTCTTTCTCATCACAGGGGGCGTATCTCTATAGTGGGCGGGCTGAGTATTATGTCAAACTGCCAACTCTACTGCAGCACTAACTACAAGCCGCAGCGGGTGACCATGCTCCTATCCAGAGCCTGCTGTGCTGTTTGACAGCAAGGCTCCTGTTGGAAGCTGCTGCAGTTGCTGGTAACTAAGGATGACCTCAGGTTTGGACTGAACCCGGTCTGAACATGAGCTTCTCAAGACACGGAAGCTACATGGGACTCCCCTGCAATCAGCTACAGGTTGGGGCATTCTCTGCCCTGTAGTGGCCCATAAACAAACTGTTGGGGATGCTTGCGTCGTTGTCATTTTCCTTTCATAGCCACATGGCCATAAATGTAATTTATCTAATATAGCCAAGTAGCCATATGAGGTCAATAGCGTTACTGCATCCCATAACTTTGCATACGTACAGCTGCGGGTGGGGAATCCCCTGGCTGCAGCTGACTGGCGGACAGAAGGCATTTTCTTCTTGGTTATGATGAGCTTAGGCTCGGTCCAAATCTGAGTTCCAAATAGTACAGCATCATTGTTGACTATAACCAGCCACGCCCTCCGCCCAGTCATGCTGTTTTGATTGACAGCAAGATTCCTTCTGGCATTTTCACAGAAAAAGACACATACATGACAACCTTCATTTTAGGGTAACATACATTTTAACTTCTACAACTACAGCTGCTGGAACACGGGCTCCTCACATATTATGGCTGCTAACATGACAGCGCAGGAGTCACTACAATGGTGCACAGCTGCACAATCCCAGTCGGCGCTGTAGTCTGTATAGGAGACCAGCTACTTTAAACAAGCTGTGGAAGTTCCTGTTTACCCACCTGAATTCCGGCCCTCCAACTCCCAGCACGTCCCCTCCTGAACTCGTCCCCGTGAATTAGCTTCCCCCGTGTACGCGGAACGGTGTAGTTGGTTCCGTGTCTTTCCCGTCCGGCCTGTCAGTGCAGGTACAGGGAGCGCTGTGCACACTACAGGCGCTGGGTGGGGGTTGTGCACTGTAGTTTATGGCTGGCAGAACTGTAAAAACCTGTCGATTATTCTACTCCCCAGCTGTCCTGTTTTCGTTTATTCAGTTTAAAGCAGAAATATTTATAAACGATATTTAAGAATTAAAATGTATTTTTTTTGCAGGTTATCAGTCCTTAGATGTGGTTGTATTTCAGTCTCCTATGATCAAAGTGTCCTGTCAGTTTTTTTTAGATGGGTCTGATCAGAAGCTCAATTAGTCTATAGGCAGGCTGATGCAAACAGACCTGAGTTTGTCTATATCTGATTACCTCCAACTTTTCCTAGGTCGGGGGTGGGCAACCACTGGCCCTCCAGCTGTTGTGAAAGACCCATGAGGCATTGCAAGACTGACAGTTACAGGCATGTTGAGATTTGTAGTTAAAGACAGCTGGAGGGCCGGAGTTGCCCTCCCCGGTTTAGGTCCACGCTTATCTAGGTCAGAACCCTTTTCTGTTTTTTTACCTAAACACAATGGATCGGAGGTAAAAAAAAATTCAAATGGACGCACATCTGTTTACATCCACCTGCCCAGAGACCTAACATGGGTCTGTTAGGTTCCGCTTTATTCCTCCATCACAAGTTGTGAAAAAACTGAATGGACACGGATATCACAAAAATGGCATCTGATCTGTTCTGCTCCGATTCAGCAGGGGATCTGTTCACTAATCATTTGCTGATCAGAATTGATGCCTCGTATGTGAAAGGGGCCTTACTTGCCTGGAGCACAATAACTTTTTTTTTTTATGTCATACTTTTAAAGTAAGGCTGGTCATACACCTATCAATTTTTTCTGTGGAACCCGTGGGCTGAACGGAGAACATGTATGTGATTCCTCAACAAAACAGCGTGTCGATCGAGGAATCCCTCTGTTTGCATTGTATTCACCTGTCAGAATACCTAATCAGAGAGGGCAGCTCATTGTCTACCGGCTCTGATCGTATGAAGATTTTACAGAAGACTCCTTCGATCAGATAATCGAGAAATGCTAGCTGAAAGAGAGCCCACAGCCCCATACACCGTGTGCGATTTTTAGACGGTACATTAAAAACCGGCCAGTGTATGGGCACCTTTAATGAGAAGTCCCCTTTAAAAAAAACCTGCTTGTTCCATCTTTTATTTAAAAAATACAGAGGTTTAATTGTAGCCTGTCATGTTTAATGGTCAGTGTACAACTCTGCATTTGTCTGAATTAGGCACAAAATACAGGAACATTACAAAAAATCTATCATTTTTTTCTGTTGGCTGTTCAGGTCACTGTGCTGCATTGCAGACCAGTGAAAAAAGTTCCTACGTCATTGTTTTCTGCAGTACCATACACTAAGGAGGCCCACAAGTATAAATGATAGTGAATAATAACCTATTGTAATGCACTTTTACTACATGGTGAAGGTGGATTTTATATAGGCACACCGACCCATTCATCTCAAATAATATTCTCAATAGATGACCACACTTCTGATCTTTCTATGCTACTAATAGACAGTCCGCCATCACGTACACCTGCAGATGGGCAATGTCATCATTCTGCATGACAATTCCTTGTCACCATCCTACCGCATGCATAGGCTGTGTCTAACTATAAACAGAGGATGCCTGTAATTTTCCATCAAGCTCTGTGCAGAATTCTTAAAAAGCAATAAGCCAATTATACAATTGGACATGAGATTTCCAGGGGCATTTTTTGTTGTTGCCATGGTTGCAAGTAAATGGAATTTGTTATAAAAACAAAAGTTTGAGTTTCTAAACAGTTTTAAAATGGCATAGAAGACAGGAGATTTAAATGGGTTGGAAAATGTGAGTAACACGCCGACATTATGAAATAGCTGGTGTAGCAATTGTTTTGTTATATGACACACACAGCTGCCAGCTCACACACAAGTGTGGCTCCATAGGCCTCTGCAAGGGAAAGGAGCCACCCTAAATACAGATTTCACAGCCAGCGCTCAGGTGACCATCTCATTCAGATAGAAATGAAAAATTGACATCAAGTAACAGCATACTCTGTAAGGTAATGCAGTAGTATTTGTATTAGATAACAAAAAATCTATCCTTTAATATCACTTTTAATTCAGTTAGCTGCTTTTTCCAAATTTTGCTATGCTATAAAGAAAAACACACAAGGCAGGGTGATAAAGGAGGTGAAGGAGAAGAAGGGTCTTTATGGCTTGATAGAACAGAGAGGTAACTTAAGGTCAAAGGTATTTCTACACACCTTAGATTTGAAAACAGTCCTAGATATTAACTCCCTAGAGACCTGGTGCCCAGCCTGCAGCCCTGTACTAGTGACTGTGCAGTCTGTAGGCTGGAAATGCCAACTCTCCAGTACTGGCCTCATACATTTGCCGTTTCAAGCCCACCTTTCTTTTCTGTCATGTTACTAGCCTCTAGGCCAAGTACTCCTGTTGGCACCTGCAGGGTTCACTACTTTCTAACATCTCCAATGGGCTTGTGGTTTAGTTTACTGTGACAGCGTCTCAGTGCAGTGTTTAATCCCAGAAGACTTCTCCACAGTCAGTCACACCATTTAGTTCCACAGGCAGACAGCTTTGGTCCAGCTGTGCTGCACTTAGAATGTATGCCAGACAGTGAGAGGTAGTGACCCCCATTGCTGTAGCATCATCATTGTAAAAGCAAGAGTTACATCAAAGACTTTAGTTTGCACCACAAAAGTATTCCCAGTTTTCACAGTTAGTGAAAACACAATTGTATGGAAACCCAAACCATGAACTGCATTTGATGTGACGCATTATATCTTAGTGGGACTACAGGGCGCCATGGGAACCGCGGTATGTGTGTAATGTCCCATTGTCAGCCTGCAAAAGTGTGTTCTGGCTAATCCTGTAGCTGGCAGCGATGTCACTGCTGGTAGTGGGCAGATGCTGCAGCAATGTATTAATGACTGATTAATACATTGTTGTTTTCTATTTGTGTTTTTTTTAAGTGCATTCACTACAGCCTAAAGCTGCCCATACGCTATGCGTTTCTTCTTGTTCAACTGCGTTTATCTATTTACTTTAGATGGGTGAATATCCCCTTCCGGGCTGTTGTGTTCTGACAGCAGGGGGAGTGCGACTGTCAGAATACACAAACAGTGACTGCAGCCAATTGGCTGCTGTCACTGCTCAGCTGAGAATTTTCAGCCTAGCTTGACTTTTGTAGAAAGGAGGGGTGCCGATAGGGTCACACACTGCTTGAATTTTAAGCAGTGTATGTCCGGCTTAAGTCACTCAAAACGAATGGGTTTGCTTCTGCTTTCATATTTTAATTTATACATCTCAGGCTGCAATTCCGTTTCTAACATTACTTTGTGGAACATGCATTTGCAAACCAATTTGCAGCCAAACAAAATTTGTATTAAACAAAAAAGCCATGCAATTATCAGAAATGTGCTGACCCTAAGGCCAAGGTCCACTCTTCCTCTATAAAGGTGCCCATACACTCTACAACCCTCGCAAGGCTTTTGTCTTGCGAGGGTTGTAAAGTACTTAAAAAAACGTACGATCTGCCCATCTTGGACAGGCAGATCGTACTTGTGATCATCGCAAGCCCGCCCCCCTGAGGGGCGGGCTTCCGATTACTGCAGTGCTGAATGGGCACTGTGCGCGTGCGCACACCGGCCCGTTCGGCAGTGATCTCTCGATCATGTTAAAAACCAGCCGAAAATCGTACGAAATCCTGCGATCGTACGAGAATTGTGCAGTGTGAATGAAGACGTGCGACCGTTTCTACTGTACGGTCGCACGTCTTTTGTCTGAGGAGCATGCTAGAAATCCAGCCGAAAATCTTACGATTTTTGGTTGGTTTGAACGATGCTCGGGAGACAAATGCCGAACGGGCCGGTGTGTGCACGCGCACACTGCCCGTCCAGCATTGCAGTCATTGGAAGCCCGCCCCTCAGGGGGGCGGGCTTGCGATGATCGCAAGTACGATCTGCCTGTCCAAGATGGGCAGATCGTACGTTTTTTTCAATTACTTTACAACCATCGCAAGACTAAGGTCTTGCGATGGTTGTAAAGTGTATGGCCACCTTAACGGAGCTCATTTACATCACTGCCTGTCCCGTCCTCAGATCGAGGAAGGTTCATGCTCCAGGCATAAAGCCTATGTGCTCAATATGTATGATGGTAATATTAGCGTTGTGAATTCTTTATTATCACTATTAAGCAGGGAGTTGGGTCTGCATGACCTATAGCCTAATGAGACTTTATCTTACTTCAGCAATACTATGATATAACCTTCCTAAATTTATACAGTTGAGTCCTTTTCTGGAAAGCCTCCTTGAAGACATGTAGCAAAGATGGAGGAACAGCCACTTCAATGTAATATCATCTATTCTGGTACAGAAAATTGACTTATAATAGGAATGTAATTTTATATAAATAGAGGGATATATTATTATATATTATATGATTGGCTCACATCCAGAGTAGTGTGAACTTCAGTTCTGGTGAATTAATTTTAATTTAGTAGTAGTTTGCTAAACTGATTTTCTAGTTTAAAATGGAATTTATGCATAAAGAATAATGTAAGGAATAAAGTTTTGCATATTAGATCATGTTTTATTATAAGCCTGAGGGAATGTCAGTATATACTTAATCTAGTACTGTCAGTGCAGCTACACATGAAGATGGTGTTTTTGTCCCCTTTAAGCCTAATTTTAGCCAAAACTTTTTTTTTTTGCTTAGTTTAGAAAGGATGGAACTTTATTATAGTCTCCGCCCCCAATGGAAAAATTGGGGGCTTCATTGCTTCAGTCTTTATCCATCTTATGCTGATGTATGCCTTTTTATGTTCAATGATGGGCTACATTTTAAGAACAAGACCTGGAACTAAACATCAGGTTTAATAAGGTTTCAGGTCATCAGGTTTACAATAAGACATAATTGACAAGAACATATATGTAGACCACATTAAATAAGAAAACCATTTGAAAGATTAAATTACCATTTTATTTTGTAACATTGTAAACAGTGTAACCATAATTTTTAATAAAAAAAAAGACTTGACATCTCCTTTTGAGATCTGCAGAGGGCCTAAAGATCAGAAATGGCAGCCCCTGCCCTGCAGTAGATTCAGCAAATACTTTGGTTCAGGTACTGTACAAACATATTTGCAAGCTGTGAAATGTTCTCATTAGGATGTAATTTAGTATAGGTGATAAACTGTTGGCGAAGCCTCCTCAGTTCCGACATGTTCAACATCCGAGGTAACTGCAAGTAGTCTAATTAAGGAAAATTAATCAGACTTTTAAAATAAAAGCAGCTTGATTCCGCATTAGGCTTTCCCATAGTTGTTCCTATTATACCACATCAATAATGTAAAAATCATGAAGCTTGCAAAACAAGAGTTCGGCATTTAATCATAGGCACGGATGTCAGTGCCTATTGAGACTCTGGGGGACTGCAAAACACATAAATGTAAAGGCCAACTTCATGGTGAAGGCCCCCCTGGAACCTTACTGCCCCTACCCCATATATACCTTAATTCCTGATGTCACCTGGCCACTTGCATGATCATGTGGTCCTTCCTTTTCTTCTCCTGCATTGGCCATAGGTGGTCCTCAATTCTGCAGAGAACAGTGCTCACATTGTGACGTGTAAGGGCCATTCTTTGCAGCTTTCCCCTCTAGGCCCGTTCTGATGATGACACATCTCACTCCAGTGTGGCCATGACGGCCTAGGCTCTCAGTAGGTTAAAGCAGAACTCCAGGCAAATGAAATCTTAACCCTTGCAATGTGGCTATCCTTGCACGGCATTTTGTCTATAGAGCTGGGAAAAGAAAAAAATAAGTTATACTAACCCGAACCACAATCCCAGCTTGTTTTTAGAACAATCCCTCCAGCCTTGCTTCCCCTCCGCTCCAGAGGTCTAAGGTCCTGTGAGTCAGTATACAGTATAAAGAACGTGAGGACGCCGAGGTAAATACCGTCAATGGAGCTGAGAAGGAGACAGGCTGAAAGCACGCCAGGGTCGCAGTTCAGGTGAGTTTTAAGTTTTTTTTATTTTCCCTGAGTTCTGCTTTAAACTATTTTTATTTATGTTTAGTGTAAAGAGGACAGCACTTGAGTGTAGAAAGGGTAAATAGCACCTTATCTTCTTTTCTTTCAGTGCACAGAAGGTAAAAGAATGGCAATGTTTCTAAAATGTGTAGGCATTGATATCGTTTTTAAAAGGATATTTTCTCACTCGCTCCTGGTACTGTAATGAGGTCTCCTGGAACGCTTATCTTCTGAGCGTTTAATACAGCCTAGGGACACAAACATGTTTATTTCCTTTTAGAAAATTTGTGAATAAATGTAGACTCTTCATAATGTTATTGAATAAACACTGCACTCCAGGCAAATAGCTAAACATACAGCTGAAATTTGTACAAAAAATATGTTGTATCATTCAAAAGAATATTTTGTTCTGTTGGGCCATTTTTGTAATCCCAAAGCAAATAAAAGACAACAATACAAATAAAAAAACACCTACAGTACAGTTAGGCAGTATAGCTTAGTCAAAAACCTATGTGCTCTTACCTCCTGCAGCCATGTTGACAATGCTAGACTGACTGTACTATGCAAAGCAATAGAGCCCTGACTGACAAAGTGCTTCCCAGTCAGCATGCTGCTGTACGGGGAACTGAGTGAAGCTAATCTTAAAACAGTATTCAGGTACTAATATTAGCTATAGTTGAATATATATTTACTATTAAGTACCAAAATAATGTTTTCCTTGGAGTCCATTAAAGGACACAGGAGAAACAGTAATCATAGATGACTGCCTTTATGAGGTGGACACTGGCAAACAAATTAATGTTGAAGGCAAGCGCCCGTATAACCACAGCCCTGCTTCCTCTGTTTTGTGAGTTAGCAGTAGATAGCGCTGTAAAACACAAGGTTTATTCACTGTGTCAGAAGATTCTCTGTGAAAGTATGGTCACCAACAGAAGAGGACGTAAAGCCCCACAGGTAGACTCAACCTGGAAAGTAAATAAGGAGTCCAAGCTCGTTTCAATTAAGTTGAAGGACTGGTTGGTCTATAGAATGTAGAGACCAATTGTCATAGAATTCCTTGTCTAATGGAAACAATTACTGTACAGGTTCAAAGGGAGGTCATAAAGTCCTAGGATGTCTCCAGCCCTCGCAGAAGATGTTTTCTAGAAGGAGGGCACTGGAAGATCCTTTCTCTAGAAGCAAAATCAAAGTCAGATTCACTAGTGAGATCTGCTTTAGTTATACCAGAATAAACAGAGTCAATGACAGTGAACATAAGTATGTCTGGATTGTGAATGACACGGTTAAGCATACATCCTTCAGTAGTCAGCTGTAGGGCCAGTAGGGTCAGAAAAATGGCTAGAATGGAGGTAGATGGGCTACATTCAGATTGCCTCTGAGCAGATCATTCCATTAATTTAGTACAAGTGGCCAACAGAGATGAGAGATCTGAAGGATTCAGAAATGATCAGACAGAGGTTCAAGATGTTGGAGACAAAGATAAACCTCATGGTAGTAGGGATCCCAGGAGTAAAAAATCTGGCATTAGGTCCCCATTGGGACAACTAAGAGGTGTGCTCAAGAGAAGCAGAACAGAAAGCGAGGTCACATGCAGCAGCAACATTCATGAGAAGACATGATACACCCAATACTGAAAACACTGTCCCCTGAGGGCAACAATTCTCAGCATACTCACAAGCTGAGGTAGCATGTGTTGGTGAGGGATGTGGGTGGCTGGAGCAATGTGTATCGGAAGACAGAAGGGAAAGTTCTCTTAGTAAGCCAGGAGTGGTAGGGAAACCAGAAAAGCCCATGCGTGATTCATCTTGTCTCTGTTAGATGATGTCAACACTAGTAGGCTGTCTGTTACCTCAGGGAAAAAAGGGCGGGAATTTTCAAAGAAAATATGGTACCATAATGAAAATTGTAAGATGCAGTTCTGAAAATTATGATAAAAAAACAATTATAAGATTTAGAGGACACTTTAGGGCAGGGGTGCCCACAAGGTCGATTGCGATCTACCAGTCGATCGCGTAGCGATCACTGGTAGATCGCACTGTCCTCTCCTCCCGCCGCTTCTCTGGATCCCCGCTGCTCTCCCCCGCGCGGATCCGAGAAGAAGTGAAGGAACCGG